TGAACCCCCAAAACGCATACTAACCTGACCCCCGCCTCGCATCAAACACTTGATGGACGAACAAGCTTACACCTATTCTGTGCAACTGTCTCGAAGGCTGAAAGAGACAATTCTAAAATAATATTCATATCGACTGATGTACCGGATAATTGACAAACAAAGCTTACCAATCACAGCGAGTTGGTAAGTATGACTATCTTCGCCAGCACGATTACGGGCCAAACAACGATAGGTACCGGCCTCTGCAGTTGTCGGTCGAACCACGGTTAAACTTTGTCCGTGATCATGAATGACGAAATAGTCACCGTCTGCCGACATGAGCACTGGTGCACCATCTTTCGTCCAAGTGATCTCCGGTGCGGTTTGATTGAAGTCACGGATTAAGCAGTAGAATGTGATGGGGACGAATTCTCTGGTTCGGTGTTCTTCCAAGGCGCTTTCGCGCTTCAGTATAGTGGGTGGTACTGTTCGTGAGATTTTGCAGTTGAAGGAAAAAATGGTATAAAAAGTAGACATGAGAAATACATCAATTCAACAGTAAAGAAGGAGAACTACACCACCATGGTCATAATTAAATCTTTATTCATTCTCAGGGGAAATAACAAGAATTTCTTTGGAGGCTTAAGTTACAAAAAAGTTCCATCAATCAGTCAATCAATCAATCAGTTATTTTATTGAATTGCCAACTACTCATCTGGTGACTGCCTATTCATCACTGCTACGTACGCATTCGTCTATCCGTTCCCATTGATCGTCCAATCACATGACACAGCTGTTCACGATAGACACTGACTAATACTCCTCCAATCCGTTTTCTCCATGCGCCAGCTTGATCTAATTGTCGGTCATCGTTCAATCGATTGATGTACTCTCAGGATCATTCATTAAATTGTTAACCCGATTCCGAACCTCACGCTGTCTTGTATGTTCTGATTTTCTGTGTTGGGTTACGGGCCCTAAATTGCTGTGCATATCGTTGCGGTTGGAGTTCGGTCTTAACAATCACTTTACCATAAAAAGCTACCTAACTTTCACTTGACTCTTAAACTTACCGATCACAGTGACATTGAATTTCTTCTCGATTGTTCCACCTCCGTTACTCGCTGTGCACGCATATTCACCTTTGTCTTCCAGCTGAATATTAGCAATCTGCAACAGTTGATCACCACTTAAAATAGCAATATTCGATCTTTGGGAGCCCTCAAAATGTGGAGAGATCACTTTCGGACGGAGAATTTCCACATCCCGTTTGAACCAAGCAAAACGTGGTCTTGGTTCGCCGGTAGCTTCACAAGCCAGTTGTATGGTCTCATTCTGAATGGCCTGAATGTGTGTTCGACGTGTTGGGTCGATAAATCTGGGCCGAACTGATCAGAAAGGTCAAACACGAGAGGTGGAGAATCGGTTGCAAATGTAACTTTGTATAGAACAATTAATATCAAAGCATATTGACACAACATTTAAGTACATTGAGCTTGGCATCAGCAACAGGGGATTTTGTGTTTCTACCATGATTGGTTTTGCCTATCCAAGTACAGTTTTAAATTCACGGCATGAACATACTCTACGAAGTAAGTTACAAAGCAGTGCATGCAGCTTATTTGACAAAGCACACGGCCTACCGAGACGTATAGGGTGTCTTTGCGTGGGTTCAAATCCCGCTGAGGACCTCCCTCCTGATCTACTTCCCAGATTGGAGAACTCGGAGACTTCTTGAAATCGTTAACGTACTAGAATGATCACAACAGGTTTCCAAAGAATGTACATTTACTGGAGAGGAAAACTATTGTTTGTTTAAGTTCATACCTGCTGAAATCGCATCCGCTTGGTTTGTTATTTGCATTTCACACGGCCATCATGTCAAAACAAGAGTTGAGAAACTGTCCTACCGTATAGCGTCTATTGGATTTCCACAGTTTTCTTATTGGTGGATTTCCAACTCTCAGGACTAAACCCTATACGAATGACTCCGCATGTATTTCTTTAGGGTTATTTTGAGCATAGATAACGGAACAGTGAAACAACGAACTTACCATAAACGAGTACATTGAACACTTGAGTGGATTTTCCAACCTCGTTCTGAGCGTGGCACACATATTCCCCAGCATCTCTGGCTTGTACTAGTGGCACGGTCAGTTTGCTTCCATCCAAAGAAACTTGGACATCCGGACCGGTGACCACAGGCACACCATGACGTTCCCACTTGATTTGTGGTGGTGGATCAATACCTTCCATCAGGGTACAATCCAAGGAACGAGTCTGATTGACGAACCAGTGTACCTCAGGTTGTACATTTGATGTGTCGAAGGTTGGTGGAACTGCGTTTCCGTAATTGTGATTTATGCACGAAGAGATTGAGTGGTTAAGTTTTTGTGTTGGGGTTGGAGAAGCATGGTCGGAAAAACAAAAAGGATATGCGAATATTTGTGTACACAAATAACCGAGAGCACCCGCAATAATGGATGCATCTGGGTGGTGTATGAAATGATGAAAACCAACAAGAAATCCTAGTGGAAAGCGAATTACATCCAGGATAATCAATACATAGTTTGTTAACTATGTTATATATGCCCCCCACTACAAGCCCTAATATCGATAGGGGTTTGACTGATGAGATCAGGAGAATAAAATATCGAAATGCAGGGTTTCTTATCACGTGACATGAAGTTCGAATCGTGCGAGAACAAACCCTTGATCTTAAATGTTATCTAACATCCCTTCTGTGTTCAATTTTCGTTTTTTTATGATAGACAACTTTTCTGTACCCTATTTTTAGCGCGTTGGCTCAATCAAGGCGAATGGATTGTTTGGGTATACTCGGCATTCTCTACTGAATGTTCAAATAACTGGCAAATTTCATGATGATTGGGAACAATAACTAGAGTGAAGTAGACAAAACTGCTCAAATCGACAAAAAAATATTACAAGTGACTGAGAAAGGTCTCATCGGAGCTCACCTCGAACACGAACTATATATTCCATGATATCCCAACCGACAGCGTTACTCGCATTACACTGATATGTACCACTGTCCTCTTTTGTTGTGCGGAACATGGTCAGTGTTTGTCGGTCCTGGAACGGCAAGCGGGACACGACAGGGGGAAAGAAGAATTACACGTACATTGTGAAAGGCAAACCGATACAGATTTGAAAACTTTGCTACTCATTACGTAGACAGTAGTATAAATCTAAGTTTGAATATAATTAGGCTGGGTATAATTACAGCTCACACAGCACAGACACAGGGAAGCGTTTACGTGTTTATGAGCGATGGAAATATTTGTAATGACCGACAACAAGCACTGGGCAGCTGTTTGAACCCGTTTGGGACTATAAACAGTGCCTGGTGTCTATGAACAATCAAATGGACTAATCCAAATTTGATACTGTCAAATGTTCGCGTAATTTATAATTGACCTAAACTTCAAGAAATATAGAATTATTATGCAAGTTACATGATATCCACATGCAGTCATAGTAAATGGGTTACCATGGGTCATATTAAGGATGAGTCATTTAAATTGCCAAAAGCTGCTCTAGCGTGAAACTGTCGATGTTGCTAAAGATACATGTTTACAAAAGCATTCAAAGAATTCGCTGTGATATATTTGAACGTAATTAACTAGTGGAACAACGAGTGTTTTCATCCGCAAACAACGTTTTAAGGAGGAAATTCGAGACATCTGGACGGAGTTAACTTGTATCAAAAACAAAATATCAAATTGTTTGCTGTCATAAATCTGTTTCATGGTGTCCCTTTTCGTGTGTTGCATTAAATTCTTTATTCTTTTGAAGTTAATTAATCTTGTGACGGAGTTCTAAATAACAGAATACTTGTGGACATGAAAATGAAAGTTAGTAAATAATCCCGGATTCGATGCTTCGTCGAACGATCCAATGCAGCATTGTTTATCCTAGACCAAAAGTACTTGGGCGATCCATGAAGCTGCGAAAATAAAATCATTTTGTAATTCGAGTTCTGAAAATCGATCTATCGGGAATGTTTTTCCATCGATAGACATATTGAGTAGTTGGACAATGTAGCCATGATGACAAAAAACACAAACAAAAGCGGATGAAGCGAAAAGTAAAATTACTACTTATGTTTGAACAAGAGGCATGCGAGTCACCGTTGCTTAGGTCTAACTGATAAGTCGGTCCACTAGGTAACCAACCATATTACTGACTGATCAATGGAATAAATGACGGAATGTCTGACTGATTGGCATACCGACAAACAGACAGACAGACAGACAGACAGACAGACAGACAGACAGACAGACAGACAGACAGACAGACAGACAGACAGACAGACAGACAGA